TTGATTCCTTCTCCTCAGGTCCTGGAAGCTGACAGTCTGTGTTTGGGAGGGAATTGTCTGACCACCTGGCACTCAACAACTATTCTCTCCTGTTTTGTTTTGCTTCAATTGTGTGTGAAAGCAGTAAAACAGATGATGTGATATTGTTGTGCTGCAACACCAATCTACGTGCATCTATTCAGAGGCACATTTGAGACATTCTGCATTATTTAGCCATAATATATTATATATATACATATATCTATAATTATATATTCCCAGACAACTTTCTCCCTCCATGTAGGAGTTCAGCATCAAACTTCAATTAAAAGGCACTGCCTCAGGTATTTAGGTGCAAAAGGATCTTCCTCACCCTGCCTCCACAAACATGCAGCACCTCCCACTTTAAAACTTCCACAACTTTGCAACTATTTTGCACACAGCCTCAGATATTTCCTGGGATTTTACTTACATGAGTTTGTCTTTCTATGACCATTTAAATAGAAATAGTGTGTTTAAGATGTGTCGCTCCAAATCCTGACCAATATTTCTGTTCACATGGAATAAGAGGTCCAGGTGCCTTGTCTTAACCACGTACCCAAGTGTCAAATTGAAACTCTAAAATTTTATCCATGCATATGAGCCCATTAAGACATATATTTTAGGATTTAACAAGCCCTCCCATATCTGGGTAGGAAAGCTGAGATGCCTTTCCATTGAACCTGCTCCCTCATGCCAAGGAATGGGAACCAAGTCATTTTTCAACATCTTCTGAAGCACATTCTTAACACAGTGAGTGATTTATGTGAATTGAAAGAAAATTTAAGATGTTTGTAAAACTCAAAATGCATTAAAAAGTCTTCATTTTGAAAAGCCATAACACTGTTTCAGCAAGGACATACTGAATAGGTGGAAAATCCACAGTTATCTTGCTATTAACCAGAAGCCCAGACAGCTTTCCCTGCAAGAAATTGCTAAGCTTAAAATCTTACCTTGCCTGAACATGTTCTTTTGTGAGCTACAACTACCATGTGCAATCCCAATTACCCAAACCCTGCAATATTCAGCATGAAGAGTTAACATCACATCCAAATCCCCGTGTCAGAGCCCTGCAGAGGCTCTGGCACATCCCAGGGGGCTGAATGAGGATCTGTGCAAGGGGTGGGGAAGGGCAGGGAGGGGAGATGAACGAGTGGGTGTGATAACTGTGGCAGGATCACAGTGGGCAGGAGAGGAGCAGCACCACCACTGGTAGCATGGAACAGGCACAGAAAGATTCCAGCTGTGCAGTCAGCTGGCGTGGAATCAGTGGGAAGGGTGGATGTAATAAATCACAGCTCTCACACAGCATCAGGTCAGAATCAACTGGAATTATTTGGATGCAAGCATGACCAAGGCTATGATCCATGTGCACACCAGGCTGTAGGAGGAGGAATGATCTTCTCTGATCTTTCCACAGGTTTTATTTGGTTTGAACAAAGTAAAATCTTGTTGGAGGTCACAGCTTTGCTAGACAACTGAAAACCTGCTTTTAAACATCAATAAGTACAATAAGATATTTCACATCATATGAGTAAACAATGATTTTGATATGGTTGAATAGAAAGCTCTTTGTTAAAATCCACAGAATAAAAAGTACCCAAATGCAGGCAGACAAAACCTTGATCTTGAAGCAGCCCAGACTCTGAACATGCAATTTATCACGTAAGAGACACAAGAGGTCAGCCATTAATTAACATCCAAATTAAAGCTTTTTAAGTAAGGGTCAAAACTTCCTTTGTTTTGACATTTAAAGCACTGGCAATGCTGTCCCCAGTTTAGTATGCACAATGCATCACCTCGTGCCTTATGTTAATTGCCTCCATTATTCAAGTGCACTATTTGATTCATTGTCAATTAAAATACCCCCAAAAGCCAAACCCGATGTGTGTTAAGCATAAAGGTGATTAATGTAACACAATTACATTCCCACATTTGTTGAGTCTGATTAGGAAGTTTCCCTCAGCCCAGCGTGACAGAGCTCTGTCACTGCCAGTGACCTGCCAGCCTTGGCAGGGCCAGCCTTTCTGATGGGGAAGAATTTCATGGCCACAAGTGCTTCTGACAGCTCTAAAACCTGTAATTAAATGCTGTCAATTAGCACTTCATCAAGAATGTGGAAATCTTCATGATCTTCTCTATTGGATTGCAAAAGGTGGTCCTAGGTGTAAAGTAAAAAAAAAACCCAAAACTATAAGGAATGAAAAAACAGTGAACAATTGTTTGCTAGAATAATGATTATGTGGACAGAATTACTATTTCCAGAAAGCGACACCATGGATCTTTTCTCACTTCATCAAGGGAACATCTGTTTCTGCACACAGAGAAAAAATTGGGCAGACCAAAAGTAAAAGAGCAATGCCTTATTTTGCTTATGGTTATAGAAATCACATGTTATAAGAAGATCTGAAGGGGTCTGAGGGGAAAAAAAAATGACCAAACTGGGACAAGGAAATGGTCAAAGTCTGGAAGTTGCTATTATATGAGATGCAAGAGCAAATAAATAAATAAGAATTAAAAAGACAGTCCAGCCTGAGCACAATGACAGAAAAGCTAATAGTAACTGAATAGCAGTGAGAGGTAGGAAGGAGAATATGCACACACAGCTGGACTTGTTATGGCCAGCTTATAAGTAGGCTTTAATAAAAATTGTTCTGAATCAGAACAAGAACTAAGAAAATTCTGTACCCTCAGTATGGTCTTCCCATCAGTAAATGTAAAATATAATTAACACTGCCATATGCAGAAATAATAAATGCATAAGAACCATCCACAACCTATATTTAATTACAAGGGAGGTGCTAGTAATGAAACATACAGTAGGTTCTTTTTTAAATTGAAAAAGAAAAAAAGACTGTACTATTGCATCTCAGAAAAGAATTAAGGAGCTCCTTGGCTTATTGAGGACTACAAAAACAATCACTGCTATAGGCCTGGTTTACATATTTGCTTTATTAATTTACACAGCCCTGGTAAGCCTCACATTGCAATGCAACTGCTAAATTACACTGCTCTTCATAATGGGCATAAAAAGATGCAAGAGCATGCAAAGTGTATTCAAACAGACAATTAAAATTATCAATTCTGTTGACAGCTGAAATGAAGGAACTGTGCTGAGGTTTAATGGTGCTGCATGAAGGACACCCTGCTTGTGGATGATTGAATTATCCAGGATCACGTGTTGACAGTCTGCCTCTGTCCAACACTGCACATTAGGCCAATTTAGTGTCTGCTTATTAAAATAATTTAATTCCAGAGATTGTTCCCAGGCATTTCTGAGTCTCTTCCTGCTCTTTCCTCCTCCTCTCACTAATGATGGCGTCTTAATTAATATGCTCATTTTACGCCACCATGAATGGCTGGGTCACCACAGAGCAGTCCAGTCAGTTTGGCTGAACCAACAATCCCTGGGGTGATCCTCTCCAAATCAAGAGGTCTGGCCAGACACACCACAGCCTCAAAGTTCTGAAGCAGAAAAAGTATTCAACAGAGGATGTTTTTATTCAATTTAACACTAGTGTATCCATTTTTATGCTTATTTTTAGTTTATCCATTATTTTTTGGTGCTTCTTTTAATAGGTCTTCAAATCTGCATGTTTATTAAATCTATTATATTCTAAGAATTTCAACTTCTAGCCATGTAGGAACAATTTGTTTGACAACTCCAAAATAAGAATTCCAGAGAAAATAAAATTTCCCCAAGAAATAAGAAGTTTGAAGTCTCTTTTCTGAGCTGAACAGCAATCTCACATCTCTGACTCTAATTACTACTCGTGATCTAAAGTTCCTGTGAAAAATCAGCTCAGACTAAGCAACATATCAAAATTCCAAGACTAAAAACGTTATGCTACAGGTTTATTTTAGTACCTCCAACGGCTGAATGACTGAAGTTTAAGAGAGTTATTTCAATAGACTTTGGCAACATCTCGTTTGGAGAAGTTAGAGCTATTTTAAAGTGAATGTGCACAGATTACACCTTCGTCTGAAGTGAAAACACATCAATATGCAGCAGTGATATCTGGAGGGAACTGAGACGGGAAATGTGTGCATTTGGTGAGTAATATTGGTTTGCATTTCTCGGTTCCACCGAGCTATGGGCTCTATCCCATTGTAGGATCCATATATTGGGCACTACTGCTCAGTGCTGGACACCCAGGAGAATTCCTGGTTCAGCACCAGCAGCCAAGTACATCAAAGATATCATTAGTAATAAATATCACGTGTAAAAATGCAGGTGTTTGGAAGTTATGAAAATGGCAGCAATTACATCCTTTTTTAAGTCTTTGAAGACACAGACCACTGGATAAGGCACCACTTTTGTTTGACAGTGCTCAGGTTCCAAAGTCCCAGAGTGGAATGAGGAATTTGTAACCCTGATATATTGGAATAAACTAACACAAGACCTGAAAAACTGTTAAATCTCCTTCATCTTAATGCTTTGGGTTTAGGGTGCCAGATTGGGTTTTATAATGTGACACCTGCTCAATGGAAATACACTGAATATTCCAGTTGTGTGACCCATTGCTATCACTGATGATCCCAAACTTCTTCCAGCCTTTGAATCTCATGTAAAGACTGGGAATTGTATTGGTTGTGAATGCTTTTAAAATACAAACTTCTAAATCTGAGTTGCAGAGATAATTTGATAGAGATGTTGATGGGAAAGTCCTGATTTCCAAGCTCATAAGTAAGATTATAAAAAAAAATTCAGAGTAAATTTAATTTTTAAGAAGTGGCTGATTCTAAGTTTTCACATAACCCTAATTGATTATATATTGTATTTTGCCATTTCTAATACGTGAGACAGAGTAAAGTCTGTAGAGACATAGGATTAATGCAAGGGAACTCAGACTGAATCATGGCAATATCCAGAATCTTAGGTACAAAACAAAAAAAAAAGCTTTCTGATAAATGGCAAGAATGAAATGAATACATAAACAATTGTGATTTTTGCACAATAGTAATATATGAAAACAACGTACGGTTCAGAATCAGCTGGTCCTCTGTGAATTCAGACGGCTTTTCTATATAAAAAACCTTCTGCTGGAATCCAGGGACACATTCTAAATCTTCTGCACATGCAAGCAGCAGAACCTGAGGGGAAAAAAAAACAGAAATAGACTTTTAACATCTACTCCTTCATCCATCATGTTGGCTTCTGGGAAGCATAGCGGGTTTAGGCTCAGTGCTCATAAAACAAAACACTGGGGTCCGTATCCATAAAACAAAATATCCATCACATCACACTTCCCCTTCAAATCTTGCTAAACAATTTTTTATGTAAGGTTGCTTTTATATATATGGGCTGGCATTGAAATTACAAAATAGTAGCTTTCAAGGTGAATTTCAGTTCAGAATATCAATAAAGAACGTTACTGGACCATAAAAACATAGGATGCAATGCTGTCCCTAAAAATCACATTTATTTAGGCCCACCTGAATACAGCTGGAACCAAATACATGTTGAAATTAAGCACATGCAAGTTGGTTTGAATACTTGATAAACTAAGAGCTGCAAATCTGCCTCAAAGTTGATCACCAAGTTGTGCAAAAAATTCTGTGTTCAAGGGTAAAGTCTTACATACAGAAGTTTCATTTACAAAAGAAAATTTTTGCTAGCAAGTCTAAACTATTTCTTTTCTTTCCCTCTAAGCCACAGTTTGTCCATTTTCCCTATAATCAAAAGCTTGTTTACACCAAGGGAGGACTGAAGAGGAAATGTGTGCATCATAGTGGAGGTAGATCTGAAGGTTCCAGTTGAATACAGTTTGTGTCACTGTTGGTACACGGTCACTCAAGTTCCGTGTCACCACAGGAACATCAAAGGAGGAAGCTTAAAAGCAAAGTAAAATTGCTGGGAATAGGTACAATTCTAATCTTGGACTCTGAAGCATTTTATCCCTGAATAGAGAAAACAACCTGAAGGGCTGTTTTTCTTGGCAGCTGTTAAATGACAGCAAGGAGGTAAGAATGGTCAAGAAAGAAGCATCAAGCAAAAAAGAAATTACTAAAAAGTTTAAAAGGTTAAAGAGAGAGGCAAAAGGAGGCAAAGTTAAGAGCAGGAAAAGCCAAATCGTATTTTCCAACACATATATGTGTAAGTACATTTTCAGAAGTACTTTCTACTTTAGAACATCTAAAGGTGTTTTACAAAGCCTGACTTTCAGGTGGTGCACTGACCACTCTGATCTCAAAATTGTTATGGGCAATCTGCTGCTTGTCAGGCAGCCTGAGCACAATCAACTAGAGAGGGCACGTGTGGCAACCAAGAAGGAAACCAACACAGGGGCTCTGAATGACATTTGCTCCTAAATTCAAGTGGCTCTGCACAATGGGTCTATTTACTCAAGATATCCTCAACACACAATTACAGTTTTGGAAATAAAGTTCTTCAGGGGTAAAGTGAAGACAATTTCTCCCCAGTACCACACCAATGGATGCTGAAGGCTCTTTTCTCCTTCAGCAGTTCAGGTGGCAATAACACTCTCACTTCTCCCAGCGTACCAGCAGCATCTCTCAGTCCCACCTCTACTCTTTTATCATCCAACTCTGCTGATCCTGATCCTATAGAGATGCCCTGCAATATTTTAACGTCTGCATGTTTCCCTATTCCCCACCACTCCCAGTCCACTTGCTAAATCAGAGTGATACATGATCTGCTCTCTCCTTCCTTGCATTTCCCACTCATTCAAAGTCCTGTGTAATCCCATTTAGAAAACCCAGAGGCAGTGATGCCCCACCTGGTCTGCATTCGCTGTTCTTTTGGGAACCAGCTGCCGGATCATTTGTTTCTCTGACAGTTGCTATAAAAGCTTGGCCAGAAGTGCCAGCAGACTGTGGGAAACAGCCAGAATATTTCATGGCAATTAATCTGGTGGAAGGTAAATGCAACAGATGGACACCTTTGCCTTCCATCCAGACCTGCTCCACGTTGGTTTCTTGGAAGGATTAACCAAGAAAGAGAAAGATTTAAAGTAATACACCAAGAAATATGCAATACACTTGACTACTATTAATTTCGGTATCATCACACTGCTCCTGCCTTTCTTAAAAAGATTTAAAACCACAGCTCTCAATCCCTCCTTCTCTTAAAGGCATTGATATTGGATTTTATTGGAGATTTTGGGGCTGAGAATTGGATGTGTCCCCTTCAGCCTTCCAGCAGGAGACATCTGCAAATGTGAGCTGAGGTATTCAGAGCCTGCCCTGAAAATTGTGCATAAAGCTTGATTAGTGATTGTTAAAAAACCTGCCTTATATACATTTCAATGGGCATATGCATAGGAAGAAAGGCACATATGCATCTTCTGCACACATTTCTGTGTGCACAGGTGCAGGTTTAAAGTACCTGTCTTTCTGACTCAGTGTTCCTGGATGAATATGCATAAAAATGTAATCACAGCAAGAGAAAACCTCTTCCCATCTTGAGATGTAAGCAAAGTTATATAATGAGTCCCCACCAGAAAAACAGTCCAAGCCATATATCCTGAAATTTATCTACAAACAGCTCTTCCCCTAAAGGATTAACACAGCAAGTAAGAAGCAAATCATGTTCTGATCTCCCAGCTACTCAAGCCTTAAAGCTGGAACTCTTGTCTTACAGAGCTATAAATAAAAAGCCTCTTTGGACATCATCTATGGCAGTACTTAGAGAAGCGAATATGTCTACTTTATCAGATTTGTGACAGTCTAAGTTGACTTTGAAATCTGGGCAATCTAAATGGGTCATGAGTTAACTTCTGTAAGCCTGGTACAGAAGCCTCACATAATAGAGATGCAGCAAATAGAAAATGACCTTTACTCCCTTTGAAATAATTACAAGACTCAAGCTTGGCCTTGCTGTGAAATGGAACATTTTATTCCACTTGTGCAATTCCAGGCACTTTCTTCTTCTCAACATGTCAGACAAAATGTTAAATCTGTCATCACATGGACAGTTTTTAATTAATTGTCTTTGAAAAGGAAAATTATTCTTTTAATTTATTTTTCTCATGAATAAACTTCTGTTGAACTAAATGCCTACCTCATTAAAATAATTTCTGTTGAGGTTCTTCACACTGGGGACAGTAGACTTTAAGAATATCTTATAAAAAATAAGACAGGCAGATATATGTTTAAGGCAAAGAGACTTGCTCAATGCAGAACACATTCTGAATTTTAACACCACGTAGATGTTGTATTTTTTGATATAATAAAAGGGTTTATGGGCTGATAGATGCCTAAAGAAAGGCTTCATCTAAATACACTCTAAATAATATTTAAATGTCGCATGTAGAACTCTGAATACACAAATATTTTTCACACAACTAGTCAAGTACTGGGCAGTTAGTACAAAAGGATCCTTCACCTGCTACCAAGAAAAAAGCCAAATTCTTGAGCAAAAAAGACAGTTATACAGCAAATATATTTGCTCATGAAAATCTAGATGGGTCCAAGTCTCAAAATCAAAGCAGAGTCGTGACTACTCAGACCTACAGATCCTGCGTTCATCAACAAGCGAAATCAAAGCTTTTCATAACGTCCTGCTTTTCAGAAATGTACAGACCAAAGACTCAGTGTTAATACTGACAGCTTTTCTTTCAGAATTGATTGCCACTTGGTGTAAGGAAATGTCATAGTTCAGATAACTCCTGTGCTAGTTTGGCCACTGCGCTAGGACTGGACTCCTGGTGAGATATCAAGCCTAAGAAACACCTTTTTTTTCATTAATAAACCAGCACACACATGCTAGTGACCCTGACTGACCTCAACATTTGCACTGAAAGCTGCTTATATAGAATATGGTTGAAAAGAAAAAAAGAAGAGCAATTTAATACCGTACTGCAGAGGAAATGAATAAACTCCCTGATGTTAAAGTACCTTTGGGTATCACGACACCTCAACAGAACAGGGCCCTTCTACCTCCTCTTTTGGTGGCTGAAAGTCGTCTCAGAAAGGTCTTTCCAAGGAATTTCAGAATCTTTATGTTCTTTTCAACTTGCACAGTTTCAGTTTGGCCACATGCTCGTTCTGCAAATGAATTTTCTCACCTTTAGCCGTGCACACCCTCACATCTTCATTAGCCCTACCTTTAGGAGATCACCTAGCACAGAAACACAAGCTGCAGAATATTAATTGCATTTCACACATATTCTTACCGTGTGAAATTCATCCTTGTGTAAGGCTTTATTTAATTAGAAATGTAAATGGTGCAGACACCTGTGAAAGCCATCTGCCCAGACAGGAATTCTGCACAGAGTAAATGTAAACAAATCTCATTTCAGAGGAAAATATTCTGTGGGACCACATTCTACCTTTGACTTCAGGAGAGTAATCTGAAATGAAAACAAATCAACATAGAACGCAAAAAGGAGGAGCTAGGATTGAAATCAGGCTCGTTTTCACTAAGAGCAATAATTTCAAGAGTTCAAAAATTATGAGGCACTTCCTGAAAAATGAGTTTTTAGTTCTGGTTGTTTTGTTTGGAGTTTCTGGCAGGGTTGGGGTTATTTTTTTATCTTTTAAAGCATGGTTTTGGGGTTTCTTTTTTATTTAACTCATTCACTTGGAAGTGGGTATCGAAAATTTATGCTTCTGAGCTTTTCTGTGGAAACATGAGAAACAGAAATTTGCTTTTTGCATATGAAAACTTCAGATTTTCATAAGAAATACGGTGATCCTTAGAGCTGAGAATGGAGAGAAAAAAGTAATCAGAATAATGAGAACTGCCAACACTGAATTAAATTGCTCATGACAAAATATTTTTATCATGCAGATTGAGATCTTTGAATCTTAAAACCTTTTCCACGTTCAGGTGCTGCAACACCAGACCCACGAAAATGGATAAGGAGGAGACCATCAGAGAAGAAAACAAGTGATAAACAGCACACAGTCATAGGGAGATGATGAAATTTGAAATCTTCTCTTTAGATCGAAATGAGGAAGTTATTCAAATGAAATTAACAGAAGGATACTTAAAATAAAATAAAGAGAGCATTGCTCCAAGTAAGATTCTGATTCTGCATGACAGACTCCAATTAGAGTGTCAGCAGGTCTTAAGGCAATTATTTCATCAAAACACACAGACTGGACATTAAGTTCTCTGTGTCTTCTGTGGTTTTTAATATCAACTGGAACAAAAAAACTTCAAAAGCTTGAATAAATTATCCTCTGATTGGCATAATTAACAGAGGTATGTTAACTTTACATAAAGGTATGTTGAATTATTTATCTCTGAATGTGACTAATTAAACACACAGTTCTTTTAAATTAATTTGATTTCTAGAATGTTATGATTTGGGGCATATTTTATGCAATATTTTCATTTGGGAGAGAATTTTTCACTGTTTCAGGCTTTATCTGCTCTTCTTTCTATCAGTAAAAAGTTAAAAAAAAGACTGCTCCCAATCCCTACAGCTCTACCTCTATATCTGATAGAGAATTCCAGTCATTTTGTAAGAAATGCTATTAAGATTTGGCACTAAGATTCTTCAAGGATGATAAATATCCTTTTAAAGGGCCTACCTATCCATTTACTGCACAGTTCCATCCTAAAAGGGAAAGTCACACTCGGAGTACTGAAGAGTGGGCTATGAAAATGCAAATTAGAGTAACTTTATTGGCTTAAATGAATTCAGTTCTCCTGTCACTGAAGCTGTGTGACTGTGGTAGGCATCCATTAAGTGGAAACAAAATGTGACAAACCCTTTTGTGAGATTACCTACCGCAGGAACTTCCCTTTTATGAGCACTTTCCTTACATACCTATGTTTATAAGAATTTTATCATATATTCAGTAAAAGGTGTGCATCTCTCTTGGCACTGGGAATCTCGTTAAGTTATTCAAGGAGGAATTTGCCAGAGGTAGTGTCAGAACAGGTAGTTTCAAACAGCCACTCGCCTTCTGAAATTGAGGAGCTCTGGAAGAGGCACCGTCATTTTCTTCAGAAATGATTTATTCATTTATTATTGCTCCCAGGGTCTGTTCTGACATCAAAGTGACCACAGAGCCCAAACTGTTCAGGGTGATGAAGGACAATATGGGCAGTGCCTGCAGAGTACAGGAGCACTTTGACAGCATCCTCATTTCAAGGCAGAGCTGGGACAATCCTCTCTCCCCAGTCACTTTTATTGCTCTCCCAGTCCCATCTGCTCCAGAAGCCCAGTCACCACAAAGCTCCGTGAGTCCCAGTGCCCACAGGATGATGTAGCTGGAAAAACAGGGCCTGGTGTGAGCCCCCACAGTCTGCAGCCCAGCCTGGGGCAGCCACCATGAAACTGATCCTGAAAATAAGCTTTTTCATTCATTCTTACTAACATAACATGCTTCAGAAAATGAGCTGGCTTAGATTTCCCTTGGAACCCAGGAAAACTTGGGAACTTGAGGGAAGGCCTGACATTCCAAACTCATCTGGACATGTTCCCATGTCACCTGGACCAAGTAACCCACTTTGACAGGAAAGCTGATCTGGACGATCTCCAGAAGTCCTTTCCGACCCCAACAATGATTCTGTGAAACCCTGATACAGGAACTACCTCTGGTGTCACAAGCAGGCACAAGTGATCTGCTAGCCAGATCACTTGATCCCAGTCATAAATAATTCCTACATTTCACAATTCCTGACCCTTATTCTGATGGTCATTTCATATCTTCCAGAATAAATTTGTTCACAGTCAATTTATAGCCATTTATCCCTGTACAAGTCTTGTCTCATAACTAAATTAACATTTGACCCCTCTAAATCTTTCATTTCTTGAGATAAACCAAACTTTTTCCATCTCCTCTTATTTGGATACATCCCTGTGATCATCTCAGTAACATTTCTTTGTGCCTGCTTAAGCTCAACCTGTGCAAAATACGTAAAGAATGCCACATAAATGTTCTTCAGGGTCTGGATATTTCTTTAAGCCCAAAATATGTTGCCTAATGCTTCCTAAAATTCCTTGTGAAGTCTTGTCATGCTGGTGGCTCACAATCATTCTAAAATTAACCAGCACACAAAGAGCTGTGAAATTTGACATTGGTGGAGGCACAGCTGCCATTTACCTAAAACAATGTTAAGCAGCTTCTGCAAACAGAGCCAGGATTGATCTTTATGAAATATAAACACAGATGCAAACCCTCATGCATTGATAAATCGATGCCCTTTCTGACCAGCTCTGCCCACGGTCAGCAGAGATCTTCCAGCCCAGAGCCCAAGCTCAGCCTTCCCTCTCTGTAAAGGTTCCTAGCTGAGGTTCAGGATCTGCCCCTGGGTCCAACAGAGCTCCCAGCTGAGAATGATTTGTACCCACATGGCTCAGAGTGCAGGATCAACTTCCACTTTCAGCAGATGTATCTGAACATTGTTCCAAATTTTGTAATCCAGGGAATGGCTCTCATTCTGCTTCATTAAGTATTTTTTGATTAATAACAGAGACCAAAACCTGCTCCTTTTGTGCAAAGTAAGTAATATTTTAAATTACTCAAGTATTTAACAAGTAAATAACTACCCATTGTGATTAATAGCACCATTTAACACACTAGACTCCAGCAAAAGGACGGGTTGGGCTCCAAGGTTATTTTTTGTTTATTTTTAGGCATTATGAAAGAAGTAATCATGTTTTGCTGAAACCCATACACCACCGGAATGAGATTACAACTGGTTAGCCTATTTAGAGAAGCTGCATAATAAATTCATTTTACAGGGTACAGAATAATGCAAATGAGCCATTCAATAGCACTCCTGTACCAGTGAAAGAGGCATAAAGAAGAAACATTGAAAGTCAGAGTTCTGGACTGGTTGTGCTGCAAGGTGTGGAATTGCTGAAACCTAAACTGCCTTACAACAATAACCTTTTTGAAGATCTGCTCATAACAAATGTTTTAGTTATTTATTGCCTAATGAAATAAACAGGCTGATCCTCTTTTCCAGCAGTAATGCCTTCATGAAGCATTTACACCAATGAAAATGTGGATCTCTGGTTTTCTAAAAAGGAAATATATTAAAAATTGTTTAAACTTATTTAAAACCATGGAGTTGCATGGGGCAAAGTCATTATTCCACATAGGAAAACACTGATGTGGCAAAAGCTGTTAGAGAAAAAATTAAAATCATATTTCTTACAGCAGATAGTGGGTTTTGGATAGGATGGCTGGAAACTCTAAGGAACATGATACATGTTTAATTTCCCAGCAGTGTGATAGTTATCAAAAAGAAAAAACAACCTTCCACCTATTATTTTCCTCGTATTCCACAAAGTTGGAGTCTAAAGCAATTATTACTGCAGCACAAACTGAACTCGGTGTAACACTGAACATCTGTCTTTTGCACTGCTAAGCTTAAACTGAAAATGAGCTTGCTGAAAACAATCTTTGAAAGTATAGCATGGATTTAAGGATTAAACACAAACAAACTTCTGTCACCTTCAAACATTACAAAAACAGGAACCAACCCCCAGAACTCATAAAAGTCTAAGGACAAGTGAAAATATCTGGTTTTCAACTTCAAAAAAAGATTTGTTGAACGTTTTCTGACCTTCTCCTAAACACTCACAAATGCAAGATTTTTTAAAAATTAATACTTTCAAGTAAAATCCCTTGATTCCAGCAAGGTTATTGGAGAAAAAACAAGTCTAACATCCAAAGACTGATAATAAAAACTGAGAAATTTCTGCAAGGGGCCCAACACAAACCTCTCTACCAGTTTTGAGAAGATTTTATTTGACATCAACAGGAAGAAGACAATCTATTATATAAAACAAGCTATAGAAAACTTTTTCACAAAGGAATCTGCATATCACATGGTTTCTTTTTCTTTACAGCAAATAATGCAGAGTAATCATAGTATGAAAGTGTTAAAATGAATAGTTCTGAAGATTGGCTTCTTATGGGTTTCTACTTAAAAACCAAGCTCAGAGGTGTACTCTTAGTAAGGACAGGGCTGTAAATCACCTTAATCTTTTTTAGTGGGTCAACACATTCTCTGTCTTCTCATCTGTTTCTTATTTTCACAAAAATCTTGTGAGCTGATCTTAGAAATCTTCTTCAGAGCTGGTTTTTAAGTGATTTTACTTTGTTTTCCTAAAGAGCAGTAACTGTACATTAGTAGTAGTACAGTAGTAATCATATGTGGATTTAATTCATTTTGACCAAAGTTTTTGCATCACTGCTCATTTTATAAGTCTGGACCCATGTATTAACCTACAACAAGTAGTAATTCTCAAGCTCATAGAATCATCTAGAAATAAACACAAAAGGATTTTTTTTTAAATAAAACCAGGTATTTTTGGCTATGTCAGCTGCTTATTGAGGAGTATTTTTAATGAATTGCAAAAACACAGTCAGAAATTAAAAGGAACTTGTACTAACTCTTCTGACTTGAGTGAAAGCAATCCCCAGGGGGAAGACAGTAAGTAGTTCAATATTCTTGAGCTCATCACAATCAAACAAAATGTTTAAAACTTACAGGCTCACTTGTGTTAACAGTGACATTACATCAAGAATGACCTTTCAGAAGAAATAAAACCCATTAATGCTAGGAACAGACAACTATTAAAGATCAACACTTTGTAGCCAAAGCAGGGGGAAAAGAAAATCAGTCTGGTAAGTTAATTAGAACATAAATAATGTGAAACCAAGACCCTGGTCTATAACCCTCCCTTTTATAATTGCTTACAATTTAAAATCTGAATGAAATCTTTTATGCAAAAATACAACTACTGACCTCACATGTATTAGGTAGTCAAAGAAAACCCTGACACGTTGAGAATGAGATCTCAGGAGTATTGGAGAAAGCCTCAGTAACACCCTGTTAAATACTTATTTCCTTACAGAAGAACTTTTTTTTTCAACTGTCAAGGAATGTTTTTTCTGGGAAACATTGGATGTTAATTGCTAAAAACATCAAGGGGTTTTCTTTTTGTTCATTGTAGAAACAATAATCATAGAAAATGATCTGTACCCATGAGAACACTGTTTTCCTTAGGTGGAGGAATAGCTGCCAGT